AAAGTGACTAATATCTATGATAATAGACAATGTTTATGATAATATTGATCATTTTAGGTACATTGTCCCAGGGTCTTTGAGTAGTAACCCTCTTTACAGTTTTTACATAATTTAGGTATTTCTTCAATGTATTTGGTGTATTTTGAAATTTAAAAAAAACAAAGCAAGAAAATAAAAGCAATATAATAAAAAAATCTTGATATGGTGCAGTTGTGACAATATTCAGGATACACATGCTTATACAACTATTGTCACATAAAGAGTGCAATTTTATTGTCACATAAAATGTCAAAGCAGCTTTAAAATAGAAAAGAGAAAATCTGTTTGTACTTCACATAGCATTATTGTTTAAACATAATTTATGTATTATAATTATTAATATTTATATAAAGCCAAGGTATTCTGCAGTGCTTTACAATTATGGTATGTAAGTATAGAAAGTAATCGTCATACAGAATATTATAGTAATACCTATTTAAATAATAATAAGAAGGCTACAATACCATTATCTCAACCCAAGATGTACAATTTGATACAAAATTTTAGCATTTGATGCCATCTGTGTTGCCACCATTGAGGATTGTGTCAGCAAGATTGTGGTTGCTGAAACTTGTGAACTTAACCTAATGTAAAGGGCCCTTATTCACTCGGCCATCAACCTAATCTAAAAGAAAATGTGATCAGACTTCTTCCATTGCTCCATGGTCCAGTTCTGATGCTTATATCCACATTGAAAGGGGCTCTGACCAGTCTGCATGCTCTGCAGCCCCATAGGTAGCAAACTATGTGTTCTGACATCATGAATATCATGAATAGCATTAGATTTTTCACCAATTTGCAATACTGTTATGTGTGATTTGACCAGACAGTCAAGTCTTCCCTCCCCATGTGTATCAATGAGCCTTGGGTGCCCATGACCATGATGCGGGTTCACTGCTTGACCTTTCTTGCAACACTCTTGGTAGGTATTATCCACTGCATACTGGGAACACTCCACACGACTTGTTATTTTTTAGATGCCCAGTCTTCTAGCCATCACCATTTGGCCCTTTTCAAAGTCACTCAGATCTTTTTGCTAGCCTATTTTTTCTTCTTCCAACATATGAAATTCAAGAACTGACTGTAGACTTGCTGCCTAATATATCCCACCCCTTGACAAGTGCTATTGTAAGGATATAGTCAAAATTATTCACTTCACCTGCCAGTTGTTTTAATGTTGTGGCTAATCTGAGTATAGTTCTTCTTTGAGGCATCTCCCAGCAACTACTAGGTTTGGTACAATGTTCACAAATAAAGTAGCATTTTTCTTTTAAAAGGTAACTCCATGTCCAAAAAATGCATTAGTGCATCAAAGGGACACTATAGGCACCCAGACCACTTCAGCAAATTGAAGTAGTCTTTGTATAGTGTCCCTATTGCCATTAGTGCTGCAATGTTAAACATCACAGTTCCAGAGAAACAGCCACTGGAGGCACTTCCTGCATCCAAACAGGGCTTTGGTCCGGTATCCAACGCTGGACATTCTTTATCACAGGACAGTAGAGGAGGCAAATCCACGACCCAGTGCCGAGGGACATCGTCACAGGGTAAGGTAAGCAAATAAAGTGTTTTTAACCCTTTATTGACCACTGCAGGGGTGTTGTGGGGGGAGGGAGTAAGGAGGGTGGATGTGAGGGAGGGGGTAGGCAGAGGGAGCTATAGTGCCAGGAATACAGCTTTGTATTCCTGGCACTATAGTATCCCTTTAAATTAATATTTGCAAACAAATCACATGTACTAAGACTTGCACAAATTCTTACTAAACCCTAAAACTGTAGCTTTCATTAGCCGCATAACTGGCCCCTGCAATTAATGAACATCCAACCCTCTTAGACCAGCATATACGCATTAATGTTAGGCAAAGTCCAATCAAAGAGAAGCACTGAGAACAAAGCTTCTCATAGAGATGGGTTCATTTATTGAGAATTAGGGATACGCATAGAAAAAATTATAATTTAGGGCTGTATTTGTTGAAGTGCTGTTTTTAAGTATTAATTTTTGTGTGTCCATTAGAATTATGTCTTGCTATATAAAACTACTGTTTACTAAAATTCAAATGAGGCTTAGCCAACAACTGGATGAGAAAATGTTTAAGGTCCCACTACTCATAGTAGATTCACTAAATATTTTATTGTAGTGAACTGCAGCTGATTGTTTATGTTTTAGTTTTTTTTAAATCTCCAACTTACAGTCACAACATTGCTAGTTTAGCCTGAATTTTGGAATTTAATCTACATAGTGTTTGAATAAACATCATAGTGTGTGCACTTCATGAACTAATTAAACAAAAATATGTGAAAGGTGAGTAAATATTTGACTAAACACAAGAGGGTGCTTGTTATCCAAATGAAGGGTGAAATTATCAGATATATAAAAAAAGATATATTAGTTATTAAAATATACATGGGCAGCACATGCGCGCAGGGACCCAGTCACATTGCATGACGCGATTCTGTGCTCCAAGGCATGTGACGGTGTGAAAGGGGATGCCCATGCGCGCATTCGCTATGACCCGACTGAGCACGGAGATCACCATATTTAAGAAGAATGAAGCGACGACGACAAGTTCAGATTTGCATTGGCTCCTGAGGAAGTCCTGACTGAGATGGGACAACATGCCTAGAGCAGCACCAGCAGTAGCAGCATCTGCATCCTGTACAAAGACCTTTCTCCACCACTCTGTCTGTAAAAGGTATCCCACAGCCCCTAGGAGTTGCGACGAACGGGGCTTTAGACCACACTGATAGGCTACCAGCAGTGGTTGGCTTTGGACTTTTTAGGTATTGGAATAGTACAGATACATTATTTATGTTTGCACTGTGCACTTTTCTCTGTCTATTTTTTAATATTTTATGAAATAAACTGTGTTATTTTATTACACATTAGGGTTTTATTTCAATAATTATTATATCTTTTTTTTATATATCTGATAATTTCACCCTTCGTTTGGATAACAAGCACCTTCTTGTGATTGGTCGAATATTCACTCACCTTTCAAACATATTTTTTTTTTTGGTTGGTTATCAGGTATTTTAGGAGTGTGCCTATTGAGGGGCAGCTGTTTACCCTCACACTCACCTCTGTTGTGTCCATTGTTACATTGCACTTCAAAAACTAGTTGTGAGATCATCTGTACACTGTTATTCTAATTATTCTTATATCATAATAGCTCAGTAAATGTCACTACCATTAATTATTAATATTAAAATTTATGGTACTGATGGCTAGCTCAATATTAATAGTCATTGCACCAATGAATATCAGCCAATCCATCATTAATTGCTACAGTCAAGGAGACAACTCACAGTAAAGTGATCCTCAATATCTTGCATAAAGGAGTATTAATAGACAAGTTTATTTATGTTTGTAAAATGTAACTTTTTCTATTAAGATATGGTTACGGCAATGATGCATTATACAAAAAAGAAACTTGTCTTTTCTTTTTTTAAAACAGAACATGATATTAAACTTACTGTTTCTGGCATACATGTATATTTAGGTATATATTAGGTATAAATCACTGTGTACTGTCTGAAAGCTAGCTTCACATTAACATGTAACTGAAAAGGTTAATTTAACAACTAAACACTCATTTTGTTATAGGCATCACTTCCTGTCCATTATCTTTGTTACTAGATTAGAAAGGGGGTAATGTTAAAGCTAGCCACTTAGTTGGCAAATCCATAACTACAATTATGATCAAGCGAACGCAATGTGACTAGAATCATTAGTCTAAATATTTAAATGAGACAAGCCATAACTTTGCATTGACTTTTACTTGGCTTATGCACAATACAAATGCTGTCAAAATAATTCACAAATCTGTTTCTTTTTTATCCCAGACAATTCTTTTTATTTTCTCTCTGAGTTTTGCTGTAATCACAGATATGAAATATGTAATATAACTGTGGCTGAGCAAATTTGTCCAATAAATTCTTCATTAACATTTACTGTTATTTATTCAAATGAAATTTAGCCGTACATAAATGTTAAATGTGTCATAGTAGTTCTCCAAAAAGATTTTCCTTTCTTAATTGTCTACGTTTCATTTCTGATACATCAAGGTGGCTCATAATACATATAATTTATAAGGATTGTCAGTGTATATTACATGTGATCTGTTTATTATACACATCATTATACAGAAGTGTAATAAGCTTTTTACAAGTCATGGATATTGAAAATTCAAACATAGAAAATCCACTTGTTAGTTTGAAAAGATACAATTCTTCTGTATAGGGAATATATGAACTAGTTCTGAATGCAATTATAAAATTGTATTATTTTCTGAGTACATTTATGTTGCATGATACAATGTATTGTACATGGAATGGTTCATCATCTGACAGAAAGGACATGAGGAAAATAATTACATCACTGGCACATTGTGACTGGATTACAATGATTTATGTGAGCTTGCCAAAATACATGTAATATCCCAGCAAACAATGCAAAACACCACAATTAGAATTTTTTTCTCACGAATGTAATGTGCCATTGAATTTAATGCGCATTCAAATTTTTTAATTATTTTTGTTCCAAAAAAGGTGCACATTAGATTTGAGTAAATATGATAGATTGCATAATCAGAAGATTGCTGTGAGTGATACAAGGCATTGGTTTATGAATTGATTAATGTGCTTAATCCTCAGGTTTTCCATTAGCCTCTGAATTGCAAAATAAGGAAAAAATATCTCAAAATGTTACTCAGAATTCAAATTTAGATACTCATTAAACTGGATTCAGATTCAAATGTGGAAATGAACACCAATATGTTTTATATATATATATATATATATATATATATATAATTCAGAGCAATTGTGTGTCTTCCTAAAATTAGGCAGAATATATAAATTTATCAAACACCAAGGTGACATCAAATTGCCCTTGACTGACCCATTCAGAAGCATATTAAACTACCACTAAATTCACCCAGACCAGTTCATCTCAACAAAGTGGTCTGTGTGCAGTGGTCCCATATGTTTAACCATTCAAGGTAAAACATTGCCATTTTGTAGAAAGGGCAATGTTTATTTAGGAGGGTTAAACACTAGTCTGGTCCTACACTGACTGAGTAAAACCCAATCAAGTGGCATTGTAGATCATAGGAAAGCATTGTATTCAGTATTAGATACACGTGCAACACTCAACAGGCATGTACATTATGTTCCCAATGATTCTCTATAAAGAGCATTTAATTGTACCATTGCCAGAGGAAGCCATGCCTTTTTGATGTTGTAGGAGATGGAGAGATCAACAGCATGAAGGAAGTCTCAGGGCTGAAAAAAGTTAAGTAAAAAGCTTTTATTTTATTTTATTTTTTTAAAAATATGTTTTATAGCAAAAGGGGGTGGCTGAATGTAACGAGAGATGAGGCACTATAGTGTTAGATATACAAACCTGTATTCCTAATGCTATAGTGCTCCTTTAAGAGATTTCTGTCAAAGAGGAGAAAACTGTGTCTTTCACCTCTGTTCAATGCCAATACAATAGACATCAAATATATAAATAATTAATAGAGTATGGTGGGCCTGTAAAACCCATTTTTAATTACATCTGGGCCAATTATATCTACCTTATAAGTGGCAAAATATAGTAATCTCTAGGATCTTTACCATTGTATGTACCTTACAATATACGTAGTTACCTTTATAGTAATGTAGGCTTTAAAATGACTCAAGTCCATCAATCTCAGACTTTCCCACATTTTTTTAACTTCTGTAGATAGAAAAGAAGGTAAAAAAAAGAAACAAGGATTTGATTTGATTTCCAGTTTTGGCATAAACTGGAGACATTTTTTTCATTACTTTAAAATGACAGTCTCTCTTTGGAGCACCAAACTGTTATCCCACATATTGACAAGCATATCATTGAATATTCTGTTTTTTTGTTTGTGTTTTTTTTTTTAATCCATACTTGTTTAAACATCCATAAACAACATCTAATAAAACAACACCCATCTTATTGTTCTTACTGTAAATAACACTTTATTTTGATGAAGAGAAAAATCTCCTTTTTTCAGTGCTAAATGAATGACATGTTTCCCTTTATGCAACTCTATTAGTGATCAGGATACAAGATAGCTATTTGTAATAGTCCTATATATATTTGTATAATGATATCATAACCCATCTAAGAAACAGTTTTTCAAAAGTGAAATACCATAGACAGAAATGAAAATGGTTAAATATTGTTGGACAATGGAAAAAATACTTTTCACTAATGAGCAGTGTAGCTGAGCATTCTGTCCCTAAATTAAAGTGGATCTCTTTATATATTTACATGCAGGAAAGACTTCTATAGAGTGCCTATACTTGCAACATTCCTTACATGTCCAAAGAATTCTTATTAAACAAGCAAAGCATACATCAGTGGGAAAACAGAAAATATAGCGAATGTGTTAGATGTTTGAAAACAGCTCATAAGCTTACCTGAACATTCAGCATCCTTGAATCACATTCGACAGTTGCCAAAGGAATATAACATTCTTTTAGTAGAAACAAACAATAATGTTACAACAAAACAATATTTCTCTTTGTTATATGTGCTTTGTAGCTCATTCAAGTCAACATTATGTCAGTATTTACTTTTACTAATATTTCTTAAGTGCTATTTCCGCGCATTCCTACTGTTTTTTTTTTTTCAATTTGACAATTTTTATTGTTTTTGGGGTACAGAAAGGAAAAGGGAGGCGGGGAATATGCACATGAACCATTTATACATCATCACAGTTGTTTTGTCACTTTTTCATGGTCTTCGTAACATTTGCACATGGCTACTTTTGATACCTCTTGTTGTGTTGGGGTGGGAGTGGGGTACAGAAGACAAGAGGGAGGGTTGCATGGTGGGGTACATTTCAGTGCAAGAAGAGACTTGAAGAGGCTTGTCAGGAAGCTCTCCCTTTCTATTCCCTTTTACCGTGTGTTGTGTTGTGTACCAAACATGCGGTGGTTCTCCTGCCTTGGCGTTGGGGTCCACCGGCCCGCTATGTGCGTGTTCCTGGTCCTCCTAATCGCTCTATGAACTCTTGGGCCCTGTAGGTTACCCTGTCTCTTGCCCTTAGTCCATCTTTGAGGGTCCTGTGGCCTAGCCGCCCATCGGGGAGGGGGGTCCACTCGGCCTTTCCCCTTGTGGGTTTCACTGGCTCCTTTGGCTGGGCAGACCTGCATATGGGTTGTGCTTGTATTGGCGGGTATGCCCGTGCCCTTAATGTCTATCTGTAGGGTGCATAACTTTGGGGGGTAACTGTGGTAACAACTTGCATGTCCTTGCTAGTCTGTCTTATTTGTCTCTGTGTTGTCCCTATCGGTGACCCCTTGTGAGATTCTAGGATCTCGGCCTTCTGCGTACGTTGCCCAGAGTGCTCTTGCTATGGCGCTTCCCTTGCCCACTTTTGTTTGGTTTCACATTATTCCTTCATACTGTAGCGTTGTGGTAACCAGCGGTACCACCTCTGCTATAGATGGGATTTTTGGTGTTTTCCATTGTTTTGCTAATAGTGTGGAGGCTGCAGACAACGTTAGGAATATTAGCTTGGTGATGCAATGTGGTGTACCCATGGGTAGGAGTTTGAGCAGGAAGGTTTCTGCATTGTGGTCTAGTATGCACCGTGTGGCTCCCTGTATTAGCCCTGCTATTTGCTCCCAATATGGTTGAACTAGGTCACATGTCCACCAGATGTGGAACATTGTCCCCTCTTGTGCCAGGCATCTCCAACATCTGTCACTCGTCTCAGGGTATATTTTTTTGAGCCTTAAAGGCACCATGTACTATCTGTACAGTAATTTTATGGGAGGCACATGTCATGAGACCCTTGGGGTTTGTGTGGACACGGTGTCATTTGTCTTGTGTGAGGCTCCTACCTATGTCCCTGTGCCATTCGGTCACATATCTCCACTCTGGTTCTTCTTTGTGTGTGGTGCTCAACCTATAGCACATTGATAAAGTTTTTTGAGTTGAGATTTGGTGTAGACACATATTTTCAAAAGGGGTGAGAGTGGTGGTGAATGTGGGTGGGGGGTCTTGTCCTGTAGTGTTGCCTATTAGTGCTTTCATCTGCCAGTATGAAAATGTGAGCTGCGATGTTATGTTGTGTGTGGTCTGAATAGTTAGTATCGGGTGTAGTCCTTGAGAGGAGCACAGCGGGTGCAGGTGTGTGAGGTTGTAGGTCCTCCATGCTCTGTATGGGAATGTGTCATTGCAGAGGGCTATTGATTGCAATGGTGTCACCATCGACCACGGCTTGGCGGAGAAGAATTTGGCTCTGTGACTGTCCCATATGTTGTATAGAAGTTTAGTGGTGGGTAGGATGTCTGGAGGTGTGCAGCGTAGTCGTTTGGGCATCCACATAGCTGCTGAGAGGTCCATGACCCCGCTGCAAGTAGTTTCTATCTCTATCCATTGGGGAGTGTATGTGGCAGAGTGCATAACTCTGTTTACGCTGCGTGGTAGTACTGCTTAAGATTTTGGAAGCCCAGGCCTCCTTTGTCTATTGGCCGCATGATTAACGTTCGTGGGACCCTGGGGTGTTTCCCTCCCGAGCTAAATTTAATCAAGCTGGATTGGATTCTTTGTAAGTATGCCTACAGTAGGGATATTTGTAAAGAGCGGAGCAGATAGAGAATTTTAGGCAGGATTGTAATTTTGATGGCCGCGATTCGGCCTAGCCATGAAAGAAATTTGTTCTGCCATGAATGCAGCATGTGCTCCACTTCCTTTGCTAGTTTAATGTGGTTGGCTGCAAAGAGGTCTGTGTGTTTTTTGGTAAGTTTTATACCCAGGAATGTCAGGAAGTCATTTCTCCAGTCATTTTGGAATTTGAGCTGGTACCGCTCTTTTTCTGCCTTTGGGATGTTTATGCACATGGCTTGGGTTTTAGTTAGGTTTAATTGGTAGTATGATTGCCTGCTGTAATCCTGAATTTCTCTATGGAGGTTTGGTAGTGATATTGCTGGATTAGATAGTGTGAGATATCATCGGCGAATAAGTTTAGTTTGTATTCCTTGCCTCCTATGGTGATCCCTTTAATGTCCTGTTTGTTACGAATAGCTATGGCTAGTGGTTCCAACGCCAACACATAGACTAGTGGGGAGAGGGGACAGCCCTGCTGGGTACCATTGGTGATTTCTAGTGGAGTGGAGCTAAACCCTTAGTTTAACATAGTTGCTGAGGGGGTGCTGTATAGGGCCTTTACCATATTGAGAAAGTCGGGAGGGAAGACATACTCAGTGCAAGAATCGCCAGTTAAGCCGGTCAAATGCTTTTTCAGCATCTAAGGATAGGAGCGTACTTTGTGTTTTGGATCTATTGAGGTAGTTGAGAATGTCTAGCACCTTCCTTGAATTATCTGGGCCCTATCTGCCAGACACAAATCCCACCTGGTCTGTTGAGATCAGGACAGGTAGAATTGTTTTAAGTCTCTCTGCATATATTTTGGCGTATAGTTTGGCATCTGCGTTCAGCAGGGATATTGGTCTGAAATTTGGACATATCATGGGTGGCTTACCCGGTTTGGGTAGGGTGATGATGTGGGCCGCTAGGAATTCAGTTGGTAGGCTGCTCTGTTGTGTAGCTATATTAAAGGCTCTTGTTATAAATGGGCTCAGCGTGTTTTTAAATGTAGCGTAGTAGAGGTTTGTGAGGCCATCTGGGCCTGGTGCCTTACCCTTCGGCATTGATTCTATCAGCTGCAGTACTTCCTGGGTAGTAATGGGGTTCGTTAGACGTGCTATGTGTTGTGCTTGGAGCTTGGGCAGGTCAAACCTGCGTAGATATTCTGTGATTGTGTCTTGGGTGGGTTGGTTTACTTGTGGATTGTCCTTCAAATTGTAGAGGGAGCTATAGTAGGTCGCAAATTCATTACAAATTTGTATGGGTTGGGTCAGTTTTTGTCCTTTTGGCAAGAGCAGATAGGGGATTTTAGTTTGGGCTTGTTTGTCTCTAAGTCTCTGGGCCAGTGCTTTGGTAGCCCTGTTTCCAAGGACGAATGTGTTGGCTTTCAATTTTTTCAATGCATAACTCGCTTTTTGAAAATTTGAGATATTCATTTGGCTTTGCAGGTCGTTTATCTGGTTTTGGAGGGGGCAAGTTGGTTAGCTCTTTGAAGGTCCTGCAGTTTTTTTAGATTTTGGATATGTGTGTGATGCTACTGTTTTTTGAGGTAAGAGGCTCTTCTAATGAGGATGCCTCTAATGACCGGTTTGTGGGCCATCCATAGTGTGAGGGCGTTTATGTCCTCTGTGTCATTGGATTGGAAGT